GAAGGGAGGAGGGCTCGTCGAGGTTGTTTTTCAGCAGCCGGCGAGCAGTGGGAGACAACGGAGGAGTGTTGTAGCGCCGTCCTAGCGGAATGGAGTGGAATCCATTGAATGTTTCGGAGGTGATTGAGATGGCGACGGACAGAGGGAGGGCGACAAGAGCTGCGTCTTCCCCTACATTACGATTGTTACATCCCTCACTTCCCTCATCGCCAAGCACGAGGGGATGTTCAAGCCACAGAGCGTCAACAATTTCAGGTGTATCCGCCGCAGGTTTTCCGAAACGTCAACTCATGGGTGGGACTGAGGAAACCTCTTACAGATCAATTTTCTCAGCGATAGGGCCACACCCGTCTCCCCCTTTCTGTTACGTACCACGGACGTCGCAAGCCCGCCAAGAGGGCGAAGGAGGCGCCACAAAGAGGCGGCGCCAGCCATTCAGGAAGGAAATGTTGGAGGTGGAGGAAGCAGAGTGGAGGGTCGGGGAGGAGGAGACAGCAGGGGAAGCACCCGTAGCGCCAAACACGGGAGCATTCTTACGCTGCTCTTCCTCCCCATATCCATGTGGGGCGTACATAGTACGATACATTCTTGCTATTGTGGGACAAAAATGGTGAGAATTTGTCCTGTGAGGAGAGTGCACCAGGTCGTGAGGGTAGGGAGGACAACGAGGTTTGATATTATTGTGTAGTAGCTTGAAGATGACCAGAGGGGAGGAAGGCGAGCTCTTTGTCAACTTTTACGACAAGTAAACGGACTGGGCCCAATCTATACAGTCCGCATAGCTTGTAGGCTTATCCTGGTATCATACATATTGTTGTACATGTTTTTGTGGACTTGTGGTTTCATATTCGTGGGAAATGCCAGGGGGTGTCAGGTCCGAGACAGATGTCTCAACCCGCTCTAACCTGCAGCTTTGATTTTATTCCCTTTTAAAAAAGGAAAGGCCGCTTGCACGTGCGGACACTGCACTTGACGCCTCGTGCACATAACCAATGAGCAACAGATGGTCCAAAGGTAGGGTATGGAGCACGCCTTCCAGTGTAGCGGCGCTTCTCTTGGCGTCAGCTTGAAGCTTGGAAAGAACATAGTCGATCAGAGACTAGCGAGCTTCTCGTTCATATGAAACCTCACAAGGACACAGGCAAGTGTTGGGCCGGTGGACAGTCCCCAAAAACCATCGGCATGCTTAAATGAATGAAGTTTTTCGACGCCTACTATCGCTCGTGAGCCTGCTTTTTCCTTTTTAGGCATTCTGGTGGGTTTCGAGCAATGGGGGGTTTATGGCACCCCACGGGCTACTCTACTTTACATATCGTGGTACAAGTCTTCTCACCTCCCAAGTCTGTTTATCAGACACTGCCAACTATGTGATACACTGCTCACCGCGTAAGTCCTACTATACGATCGAGCACTTGTCGGAGGAACAGCTTAGAGAGAGTGGTGACCTTTCGTCTCAAGCGCTCCGTTTGTTTGCTTTTTGATACATGATATCACCTCCAAAGTCAAGCTGGGAGCGGGCCGCTGAAATGGAATTTAAGAAGAGCAAAGCCTACCACCGAACGGGTTTTTACCATTTCCTTTGTCGCAGCATGTCTGTGGCCATGAATCACGGACCACGCCGGGAGGTAGTGCACGACTGAAAGCCACCCCGCGGAGTTCCGAGGGAAGAATGGTGGGTGGCGCCTACTGGCTTCCATGGGGCTCTGAAAATGCCGTGCTAAGGTCTCCGGAGGCGGCGTTTGCAGTCGTGTGTGGGGTCAGAGAGAGAGCTTCTGCTGGGGCCGTGCCGAACGCCTGAATTCAGGGACATAGATATATTTTGGGTCCGCTCCATCACGAGAGGAAAGTGAAAAGAAGACGTGATGTAGGAATAAAGAAAGAATGCAAAGACGCGAAGGCCGACCAATATCCACGCCG